GTGGGTTCGATCCCCACCGGACGAATTTTCGAGGTTCGTTTTTTCGCCTGGTGTGGTCGAGCCTGTGCCCGAGGTGGAGCGGGTACCACTCAAAAAAGAAGACCCGGGCTATGTCATCAGCCTCCGAAGCGGTAAAAAACCCCGATCACTGTGCGAGCTGGAAGCGATAGGACAACCACAAGTAGGAGCCCGAGGCAAGGACTCACAATGCTGGCAATAGATGGAGCACACCACTCCCATGATGAAGCCGGAAGCGAGAACTACACTCACAAGAGGGCGCCGGATGCGAGAGCCAAGGCTCTGGTGGAGCGCATGATGGCGCCTGAAGCGAGAACCACACTCACAAGACGACAACAGAAAAAGGAGGAGTTCAAAAACTCACGGAGACTCACAGCGTAGCGTTGGAAGCGAGAACCACACTCACAAGATGTAGCCGACAGAGCAGAGCGGCGGACTTGCCATCGGCTGCAGAAGCGAGAACCACACTCACAAGATGGCACTAGACAGCGAGTTCTAAAGAAGATGTCCAACTCAGGAGGAGATGCCAGCAATGTGTGACCACGCAGGCGGCTCTGAAAAAGAGGATACGACAATCGACGATGGCAGCGTGCAGGTTCGGAGGTTCACCAAGAAGATAAAGATGAGTCCCTGAACCCCTAATCGTCGCATATCACTATGCGACGGATGGGGGATGTATGGAAAACAACGACTAACAGAAGTAGCAGAAATGCTCAACTAACCCCGGCCTCACCGAAGCAATGCCTAACGGCGGATTCCGGTGTGTGTCCGAATGGGGTGGAGTAGAAAAAAAAAACACACACACACACAGACAGACATGTGTTAGAAATTCAATCTAGTTTACAAATATGTAAACCAAATTGTTCTATGAAGTCTGGTTCAATAACTCATATTCGAATCCATCACACAGCTTTCCCTATGGAGGAAGCCAAAATTGTTTTAACTCAAATTTGAAATGGAAAGATATTTGATTCGTAGGTCTAAAACTTATTTCTTGCGTACATAAGAAGTATACTTGAAAGTCCGATAGTTACAATTTTGAAATTAAACAAGACTTGTATCAAAATGACGCTTTTTAAAAAAATAACCGTACATGAATGAAGTCAATTTTATTATATGGGAAGAAGGCACTTACACGATACTTGCCTGACTTTCAGCGTGCTTATCGCGCTTTTTTCTTTCTTGTCCCATTTTGACATTTTCACGTACTTGAAATGAAAAAATATAAAAGATAAAGATCACATTATAAACTGTAAAAATCGCAATGGGTCGAATTTTTGCCTCAGCGCCCTCTCGAGGATACCAATCAAAATTAGTCTTAAGCCGTCAAAAGGTTAATATTCCACTTTCTCGACTGACTATAACACTCGCATTTTCGCACCACTTAACAATAGCAAGCTACTACCAATCAGAAATCAAAAACCCGAAAATGATCCAAAAAAATCCTAAAAATTCACTCATGCTCTTTGAATAATTCTAAGACTTTTCTTATGTACATAACTTGTACATACATAGATGTTACATTTTCTCGCTCAGCATTTCATTTTTGAACAATTTCGAGCTTTTATATGTGACGACCACGTATGTGGCCGCACGAACACTCGTCTGCTACGCGATCAGCTGAGCAAGCCGCGGAGCAGACGAGCGCGCCGCTGTAGGCCCCACCTATATACTCGCGTTGCTAGGCAACGCGCGGCCCCCACCGCTGGCGCCCGGCTATATAAGTTGGCAACTCGCAGCGGTAAAGCAGATTCGGCTCTGGCCAAAGCGAGCGACGCATCGTGAGCACACGAGGTGAGAAGCTCAATCCTTGATACGTGAGCGCACTCATCAAGCAGTGTACGTGAGCACACGTAACACAATCATACCTTCTAGTGCGTGAGCACACGTAACACAATCATACCTTCTAGTGCGTGAGCACACGTAACACAATCATACCTTCTAGTGTGTGAGCACACGCACGCTCTCCGACTCTCGTGGGCACACGTGAGCATCCCTGACCCGATCCCTTTTCTTTGTTCTTTTTTTGCAATCAAAGTTAATACTTTTCTTTGCTTTCTACTCTTTTTTTTACTCAAAACTCAAATAATTTTGTTTGCTTCATTTACTTGCTATATTTGTAAATAATTAATCTTTAGTTTATTAATAAATCAACCAATACTTGTTACTGAACTTTTACGACTTATCATTATAAGCCACCACCTGATCCCACCGTTACATATATTTCAAATATTTTCTCCGTCATAAATCGTTCTTTAGTAGACTATTTTATCTACTACCGTAGATGATTTACTGACATGATAGGATTTAATGCATTGATTTAATCAGAAAAGTTCTCGGTATTGGATATGCCTCATGCATATATGCAAATTCCAGTGTACAAAGATTGCCAGACATTTCGGACAATAACGACACACCAAGGTTTGTTAAAGTATACAAGAATGCCAGAAGGAGTTTCCACCTGCCCAGGTGAATTCCAAGGCATGATGGAAAATATCATCAAAGGCATTCCGAATACGATCTCTTACCTAGATAATGTTTACGTGACGTATTAAGAACATGAAAGAGGTTTGCCGACGCATGGAAAACGCGGGTTTAAGAATTAATAAAAATAAATGTAGTTTTCTGAAACAAAAAATTGACATCCTTGGACATGTTATTGACAGAAATGGGCTGCATAAGGCGTATTCGAAGGTGAAAGCGATACTGGAAGCACCGTGACCGGCAAACAAAAAACAAGCACAATCACTGCTAGGTTTAGTTAATTTTTATGCAAAATTTTTAAAAGATCGCGCGGTTCAATCAAAGAATCTGTATGAGTGTACAGATAAAGAAACATTCGAGTGGACAGAAAATTGTGAAAAAGAATTTAAATGGATCAAAAAAGAAATAGTTCCGCCAACTGTTTTTGCGCATTACGATCCAAATAGAGAGTTAATCTTAGCGTGTGATACATCGGATTATGGTCTATCGGCGGTACTCTCTCATAAGCACGGGGAAGGGACTGAACGCCCCATCGCGTTCGCATAAAAAAAATTCCGCCAAAAGAAAATAGCAGAGCTAATATTGACAAAGAAGCAGCCGCGATTGTTTTTGGATTTAAACGATTTTATGATTATGTGTTCGATAGAGAGATCACGCTAAGAACGGACCGTAAACCACTGCAATTCATTGTCGGCCCAAAAGCTGGTATTCCGCTGACGGCAGCAAACAGGCTACAAGGATGGGCGTATTTTTTGTCGGGGTTTAAATACCAAATAGAGTACGTAAAGTCCGAACAAAATGGAAACTGCGACGCTCTTTCGAGATTACCGATAGACGACGATAGCAATGTGTTTGAGAGCGATTTCACGCTCTTGTACTATATCCAAGAAGGAATAGAAAATGTAAACATACGATCGGTGGCTTGCAAAACCGAGAGAGATGCATGATTGCCGAAAATAAAAAGCTATGTAATCAGTGGCTGGCCAGCAAACACAAGCGTATTATCGCAAACCGAGAAGGTTTTTTTGAATAAACGTTTAGAATTATCAATTGATAACGGTTGTTTGTTATGGGGACACCGTTTAGTAATTCCAGAGAGTCTAAAATCAAACTTATTAAAAGAACTACATAAATCCCATTGGGAAATCGTGAAAATCAAAATGCTTGCTAGATCATACGTTTGGTGGCCAGGCATTGACGCTGATATTGAATTCTTGGTGAGTGCTTGTATGATTTGTTTGCAAGAGCGAAAAAAGCCGCCAAAACTACCATTAACACCATGGCCTTGGCCTGAAAAGCCATGGATTAGAATCCACATCGATTTTTTACGTCCATTTTACAACCGCATGTTCCTAGCAATAATAGACGCGCATTCTAAGTGGCCCGAAATAATTGACTTTAAATCAAACACAACAGCGGACAAATTGGTTCAGAGGATGCAAAAATTGTTTGCGAGACACGGCATGCCGAAGCACGTGGTATCGGATAACGGTCCGCCACTAACTAGCGAAAAATTTAAAACATTTTTATTAGAATTAGGAGTTAAACAGTCGTTTTCTCCGCCCAAGCACCCAGCCACAAATGGTGCAGTCGAAAATTTCGTTGGCACCTTTAAAGATAAAATCTCAAAAATAGTGAAAGGGGGAAAAGGGCTGGAGGAAGTAATTAATATTGAAAAATTTTTTTTTGAAAAATTTTCATAATTTTTTTTTTAATAATTTTTTTTAAAAAAAATTTTTTAATAATTTTTTTTTTTATACTTTGCCGGCTAGGTGCTACCGCACCTCTTGATTTTCCTGTTTGACTACAGGAGCATTCCGCATAGCTCGACGGACAAAAGACCCGTTTTTTTATTGTATAAGCGTGAGCTTCGTACGCGTTTCGACAAGTTGCGTCCGAGCGCCAAGGCGACTGTTCTAAACAGACAGGAGCAACAAATTAAACATTGTAGCGGTACGCGTAACCCAATATTGAACGTTGGAGACATGGTTATGGTAGAAGACTACAGCGTAGGTAGTCCCAAGCGAGTACCGGCTGAAATCGTAGAGCAATTAACCCCGTCTACGTTTAACATAAAAATAGGTGATAAAAACACGTAACTATACAGTATAGCACTGTGGCGTAAATAGAGCCTCGAGATAAGTCGGCCTTGAGGCCCGCCCACATTCTTATCCCGACTCTCGTGACGATCGCACGTGTTGTGTTCATTGGAAATAAAGTTATTCTTACTATATATATATATACCCGAGTCATTTACTTACATAGAAATATTACAGAATTGACCCACAAAAATACGTTATAAAATACCCCCCTATTAATACTATTTTTTTACATTATACGTGTTACAATTTTGTCGCGCTACACTTGTGTTATTATTTCGCTCGTCTAATTACGACGCGTACCGGAGCTTGCTGTCTTGTATACATCAATTTACATAGATATCTTAAAATTGTTAAATAGTAAATACACCATTAAAAATTTTAATTTTGTTATTATAGATTTTCAACGGTTTTATAGTCATTGGACAGATTTGAAAAATAGAGAATTTTCATCTGTTTTTAATGAGCGCACAGAAGAATCTTCAGCGATGCAATACTTCCAATTTTATGGCTATCTTTCACAGCAACAAAATATGATGCAAGATTTTATTAGAACCAGTACATATCAACGAGCCATTCTTGGAAATACATCTGACTTTAAAGATAAGGTAGTTTTGGATGTTGGTGCTGGTTCTGGGATTTTATCTTTTTTCGCTGCTCAAGCTGGGGCAAAAATTGTTTATGCTGTGGAAGCAAGCAATATGGCTAATCATGCAAAAACCCTCGTTGATGCTAATAACTTATCAGATAAAATAATTATTATTGCTGGAAAAATTGAAGAAATTGTCATACCTGAAAAAGTTGATTGTATTGTAAGTGAGCCTATGGGATACATGTTATACAATGAAAGAATGTTGGAAACTTACTTACACGCTAAAAAGTGGCTAGCTCCAGGTATTTACTTTCACTTTTTAAATAAATTTATTATTCATTTTTGTGATTGTAACAAGCACGTCATGCTTGGCACGGTTCTTCCTTCTTTTCAGCATGATATACGGTAATCAACAAGAAATATTATGTTTTTTTACGATAGTAGACAAAGGTAACCATCTTTTTTTTCTCTCACAATGAGGATCTTACCAGAACCCTAGTCCGGAAAATTTATTTTGGATATAGATTATAGAGAAATTACACTTTGAAGCCGAGTTCGGTCACCGTGTAGACACTTTATCAGAGTATTAGTCCTTAACTGGTATTTTACAATGTAAATTTCTGCTGCAACATTCCGTTACATTGATATTGCGTTATTTGATTTATTGCCTGAAGATGAAAGAATGGTAAAGATAAAGATTTAAAGTAATTTCTTGAATTTACTAACGCGTACTCGGCCAAAATGTAGCGTGGATTGCGAACGTGCGAGATAGTACAAAGAGCGCGTCGCGGATGCAAAAAAAGATCGATGAAGACCCTGGCGGCAACATACGTTTCAATTATAAAAGAAACAGTTATTGAGTTGCTTATTATTTAAATATTCTAAAACCAAGCTATAAATTTCATCATTTACTAAAATACAAGTATCACAACATTTTCCATTTAAAATTTTTCAGGAGGTAGAATGTTTCCTTCTCGTGGTGATCTTCACATTGCGCCATTTTCAGATGAAAGTTTGTACATGGAACAGTTTAATAAAGCTAACTTTTGGTATCAAACTTGTTTTCATGGAATTGATTTATCCGCTTTAAGAGGTCAAGCTATAAAAGAGTACTTCAGGCAGCCTATAGTTGATACTTTTGACATTCGAATTTGTATGGCAAAATCGGTTAGACATGTAGTGGATTTTCAAACAGCTAATGAAACTGATCTTCATAACATTGGTAATTATGTCAGAAATTTAAATGTGAATCTTAGTGAAGTCTAATGCCGAAAATATTTTTTGTCTGCAGTTAATTAAAAATTTTATTAGAATTTTTAGGACTGCCCATTACCTCTTTTAAGAGAATCAAAGTTAGCATTTGTCCGAAATTGAAATTATCGCAAATATTAAAATGAAACCTAATTCCGTATTGAATAATAAACAAAAAATATAAGAGAATGTTTTTTGTAGAATTCCGAAGTGATCTTAGCACTCCAGAGGTTTGCAAAATACAATTTGCAAAAAACAAGTTTTTGATGATTACAGAAAAAAATTTTTTTTGCCATTCGACTTCTCTGAGAATCGGTCTCATGCACCACAACCAATTATTTTTATAAACTTTACATTAGCGTAAACAATCAACTGTCTGTAGCGCCCTTTTTGTACTTGTACTTTTTATACGCAAACAATTTAGAAGCTATGGGAGCTATGGAATAAAGAAATAATAATGAAAAATAGCAAAAACCGTAAATCGGAAATCATTCATAGTTGGTTCAAATTTGGTTTGATATTTGTGCCGACAAGAATACTTTCTGGCACGGATATTAGGACCGTTGCTGTGCTTGGACCCTAAAATATGTCATTCTAAAAGGGCGTCTAATTATTTTTAATTTTACATTTATAGTTTTAGACTGTAAAAAGGAGAAATATTTTTTTTCTGGGGAACACATAAAAACCCTTTTCAATACCCTATTTGAAAGTATTTTATCCAGTTACCCAGTAACAGTTGAATAGACTGATATAAGTTTTTGTAAAAGGACCTGTAAAACATATTTTTACATCAGAAACAAAAAATTTTAATAATAATCCTTAATTTTCATGTTTTTCATTTATAGGTAAAAACACAGATGTGTCCCCTTAAACAAAATAAAACCTTAACAAATCATTTTGATTCATTCAATGACTTTAAATTTTTCGATAGGTACTTAGAAGGTCAGTAGACTAATATCAATATTTTTGACTATTTCAACTGGACAAAATACTTCTAAATGGGGTATTTAAAAGGTTTGTTAAGCGTTCTTCAATATAAAATGGTTTTTGACGTTTACAGCCTTATACTGTAAATAGACATTTAAGGGGGTAAAGGCACCTTAAAATCAAATTTTTTTATACGATTTTTGAGTAGGATTTTTTCTCCCCTTTTCATCACATTTTTCGAAATTCTAACATTTTGATTTTGTACTGAGATACAGCTGTTTCCGTGAGCTTTTTTTCTATACTTTACTTATTAATTTTTTTCTTCTTTTCCGTTTTCCGAAATAGTGTTTTTGGTCATCTGTCGAAACTTTCGGAGAGTACCGATTGAGCTTCAGCACCACGGTTGCGTACACTTCTTCAGAACATCAATCCTTATAAACTGTAACGGTTCCCGTGACCGTACAATATTCGTAAAGAAATTCTAGGTGATGCGCGAACTCACGTTGGTCGCCGGCTAGCTCAGTACTCGGTGCGACAACTCGCACCGACCGCGGCGGCGTCGTGGTCCAACCTAGGAAGAAATAACGGGAAAGGTTTTGCCGAAATAACAATTCGCGAATTAGCATAGTAAATAAGAAATGAATTATTATTAAGTTTCGAGTCCGTCCGTGCTGCTGCACTCACTCACGTAATACGCAGAATCGAGTGGCAATCCGTTGCCACGTACAAATAAACCACGTGGAGATCCGGCACGCCACACCGCTTCACGTGTCCCAACAATCAAGCCCGTCTGAAGGCGTACACGCGAGTCCAAGTCGTACGTACCCCACGCACCCACGACATTTGGTGCTACTCGTTCACGCTAGTCCTGGTTGTTCATCAGGGTACACGCACTTGCGACGTACGGCGCGATAAAACTTACGCCCGACGCCACTTCTCGCGATTTCGGAACCACGTCGATGTGGTCGTGTCAGCGTCAGAAAACGATCTCGCCGCGCTGCTCACAGTCGCGCGGCTCGCAGGAGTGAATCGATCACGTGACCAATTCGTCACCCCTGCTCCAAAATATTCGATGGCATCATGCGGTTCGCGACACGCAGTATCCCCACTCACACATACTCGCACACATATGCGTCTCGCTGCCACTGCTGCGTGGTAAAACATCAGTAAAATTATACATTTCACATTAGTATGGCTGAGGTGGCGAGAGAGTTGTGACGACGTAACGCGACCGTCACAAAACACAAGCACTTTAGGAGTGATAGAACACGCACAGTAGGGTGGAGCGAAGTAGGCGAAAAATTTTAGATCACTTTGGAATAGTGTTCAAAGTTCATCTTTTACACAAACAAAACAACAGCCGTTCACTAGACGTTGGCAAATGATATTTTCTACTGCAACCAGAACGTCAAACTCCGTTTTTTCGTATTTTTTCGTTTTTCTCGAATAAAAATTGAACTTTAAGCCAAATAAACGAAATAAAACGTACCGGACCCTTATAAATTGATCCAACCTTTTTTAAAATACAATAACAATCAGTTTTGATTGTTATAGTTACTCCTAAAAACTCTTGTGTTACTGGTATAGCCCCAGTAACGACGATCTTTCGACTTTTTTTGCGATTTTTTGTGCATTTTCGATATCGTCCCGAATGCGTAATCTGTAATAAAAAACAAGTCTGAGACCGGTAATCGCTTTGTCAAGAAGTACACTTTGAAGGTACAAACGCTCATTTTGATCGAGCTATAAGGAAAAAAACGTACCGAGCTAAAACATCAGCCATTTTTTACACTCCTTATACTATTTTTCCATGCTATCGAAAATTGGCACTATCGATTCGTTCAAAAAATTTGAAAAAAAAACTTCTTATGTACGTTAGATACAATGTATAGTAGTTTTTGAGCTAGGAGAAGGAGAAGACTTGAAGAAGGTTTGTGGTCAAGAAAATAGAGACGGTTTCATACGATCCACTTTGCAATCTCGCTCTCGGATGCCCATGTTTAATACAAAAAAAGAATTTGCCGTTGAATGAAATTTGTATATTTTGTAGTAATACAATTTTTAATTCTGATTGCTTAAATTAAACTATGAAATAAAAATTGTATTTTTGATTGTATGTTTTTATATTCATTAACATAATATATTTTAGAATAAAAAAAGTACAGTTCTCGTGATAAATTGTTCGATACACTATTTGCATAATAAACTGTGAACATACTGAAATCTAGTCCGGTACGTTTTTTTCCTTACTAGACGTTTAAGACGCGCTCCGCGCGTATCAATTTTTTTATTTGTGTTTTGAGGTTAGTTTAAGATTCAGAAATAGTTCAGAAATAGTACGTTTCAAACGCGCTTCGCGCGCGTCAATTTTTTCATTCGAATTTTGAGGTTACTCAAGTACTAACTGTCTGTTGACAGTTAGCAGCACAGGCACTCGTATAGAGTCGGCTCGCGTCGGGCGTCGTCGTCAGTGTCAGCCAATCAGAGGTCGTTTTACGCGGCTTCACTTTTCGGCCGTTCTCTTTTTTATAAGTAGATAGCTCGATCAAAATGAGCGTTTGTACCTTCAAAGTGTACTTCTTGACAAAGCGATTACCGGTCTCAGACTTGTTTTTTATTACAGATTACGCATTCGGGACGATATCGAAAATGCACAAAAAATCGCAAAAAAAGTCGAAAAATCGTCGTTACTGGGGCTATACCAGTAACACAAGAGTTTTTAGGAGTAACTATAACAATCAAAACTGATTGTTATTGTATTTTAAAAAAGGTTGAATCAATTTATAAGGGTCCGGTACGTTTTATTTCGTTTATTTGGCTTAAAGTTCAATTTTTATTCGAGAAAAACGAAAAAATACGATAAAACGGAGTTTGACGTTCTGGTTGCAGTAGAAAATATCATTTGCTAAAGTCTAGCGAACGGCTGTTGTTTTGTTTGTGTAAAAGATGAACTTTGAACACTATTCCAAAGTGATCTAAAATTTTTCGCCTACTTCGCTCCACCCTATTATACATTGGATTGGTGCTAGGGTCTACCGAAGCTTGACACTCATCCATATAACTTCCATCACAACACACATTACCTTCTTCATCCAAATATTTTTCTTTTAACTCTCCGGTGAGTGATATCTAAACCTTTCGGAATTTTCCTCGGGTTTTTAAACCCTTCAAGACATTTTTCACAATGCTTAGGTCAAAAAGTTTTGTGTGGCTCTCCTTAGTTGTCAGGCTTTCAGGAAATTGGTAGATTGTTTCGTCATCTTCTAGTTGTATCGTGAGTACCTTCACACCCGTAGTTTTGGAATCCAATGCCACTGAAGCAAAGCAGAATCTGGCTCGTACATCAGCCATTTTATCTTGTTGATTTATAAGTCGACTTTTAATTCTTGTGGGTTAGGTCGTGAAATGAATGCTGCTGTTGATGCTAGTTAAAACTGTTAATAAATTTATTTACATTATTCACACTGAGTTGATATCAAACAATAATTAATGATTAAACATAGGTAAAGGTTTACCTGAATCAACAAGAAGTACAGCTTTTGTTATTTATAACTTTTACGGGCAAGCGCCATGCAGATCACACATGTCTCTCTTCATGTGTCGCTTATTACGCAGTTGCGACTCTCATATGCAAATTCTAAATAGTGTCTGCTAATGAGTAATTATCAAACGATATCTAGCGTGTCGCTTTTAAGTTTTAGCTGGTCTCAAACTTACAACAATAATACTGGATTAGAACTATAATATTACTATAGTTTATATAATGCATTACAGTATTATGATAGTTCTAACCTACTATTATAGTACTTTTTTCTTAAATCGAAATCAGAAAATTCTCAAAAAAGTCTAAAATACCGCACAAGCGTGAGCGAGTGAGTATAATGCGTTAGTAAGGCATGGAAATATGTGACACGTGTTTTCGACAAGAAATTTCTTCAGCTTTCTGATAGTGTGCTCGGATTCTGGAAAATGGCGAAAACAAAATTCAACATTAAATATCTCAAAAAGAGGGTTTTTAAGATTTTAAAGAAAAGTCTAAAAAGAAAGCTGAGAAAATTTCATATCAAAATGCATGTTTTCCAGAGAATACTTTTACTAACTGTAATACGGCCATGAACATGAAAAAACGTGGCTTTTCGGCGCGCGGGGCATCTTCTTCGGCGTGTAGTTACCACTGTGGCGTAGAATCTTGTTTATTTATCTTATATATTTTTATAGTATTATCAAATATTTTTATGATTAAAGTACTATTTTATCAAATTTTAGAGATCAATGTTGATTTTCATATCCTCGAAAGTGGAACTTGTCACGGTCTTGCATTCTGGTTTGATGTGGCATTTATTGGATCTATGCAACAAGTATGGTTGAGTACTGCTCCAACAGAGCCGTTAACTCACTGGTATCAAGTAAGGTGCTTACTTGAAAATCCTCTATTTTGTAAAAGTGGACAATTACTTTCTGGAATAGTAAATTTAACAGCTAATAAGAGGTAAGAAAAACCGGAACCAAGTCAACATTTTTTTCGAATAGATCACAATTTTTTCTTTATAAATAAAATGTAACATTCGACCCTGCTCAAAAACTCATTCATTCTTATATAGCAATATCTCAAAAATAATAACGTCTAATCATTTTAATAAATTCTTGGTGAACTATGATAAATAATTAATCAACGTCTATTATCTATTATCAACGTCAACTATCCAATCCTGTAAAGCAAACTAACTAGGTACTCGATTTTTCGAGTACTCGAGTTTTTTCGAGTAGTCGCCATGTATTTGAGTTATAAGTGAATAAATGATGAATTAACAATCTCTAGACCCCTCCGTTTGTGTGTACATGCTGATAAGTGTGACACTCGCAGAGCACGCTCTCTACAAAGTAAAATATAAGTCAATTCCACAAATCTCTAAATTCTTAAAAATGTCAATTTTCAAACTATAAATTGTTTCAACTTTATATTTTCGAAAAGCCCCATCAACAATCATTCTGATTTTTAAAAGTGGAATATTTTTGCTATTTTGTTAAATAGGTACGTCGCATAAAATACGAATTACACTTTGCAGTACTATTAAAATTATTCACCTCAAAAATACCGCAACGGTATAACAATAGTTTTGAATTGTTGTAAATTATTAAAATATCGTAGAAAACTTTACTTCAAATATTCATTTTTCTAATTCATTTTTAACAACATTTCAGACAATCTTATGATGTAACAATTGAATTGATGTTAGAAGGAACTAATATGGGAAGTAGTAAAAATACATTGGATTTAAAAAATCCATACTTTCGATACACTGGAACAGCCGCTCAACCTCCTCCAGGATTAAATAGTTCATCTCCAAGTGAACTGTATTGGAACACTATTGATGCCCAAGGTGCAAGACAGGCTGTGAATATGGTGAGCGGGATGTCAGTCAATGGTCTTGGACAAGTATCAATAGATACAATGAATAATACAAATTCAAACAACTTATCTCCTCAAGGTAAATTTCATTTTTTCAAAAGTACACTAGAGTCCGTTTGATTCGGTTCGCTACTATTTTTTATTTTCGAACGCAGTTTTGCCAAACTCACATTTTTCTACTACCTCTCTGTACTGATTCGGACCTAACCACCGGTTTCTTGATAAGTCGCATCAAAAATTGCTCAAGCCCCTATCTACACTCGAAACGTAATCTGCAATAGCGAACCAAATCAAGTAGACTCCAACTAAATCTCAAAATATTTTATACAGAGAAAAAATTTCATTTTATTTCTATATACTCAGATTATACTGTCTACCAATTTTGCTAAAAGTAGCTAACGTGCCTAAGTAGACAAAACTGGAAGCCATTTTAATCAGCCTTGGCTTCCTGTCGGTCAGTATGTTATGTACCGGGGCGTCCATTTCTCGCTGGGGCCGATGCGCAGGTACGCAGACGACGTAGACGAATCGGTACGGTAGTGATGGTCCTGATCGGCCGTGGAAGTAGATTCGATTCTCAATGAACACGTTGAAACGTGAAGAAGACACACGCGCACTCCTGGTGGTGGTGATGCGTACGACGATGAAAAAAATAACCTCAAAGAGGTAGGCTGACGTTGCCTCGACTCTCACGAGGAGGGCTTACGTCTGGGGACATCACGTCGAAGACGTATAACGAACTCGTTGTTACTCGCCGCGCACGTGCTCCGCTCGTTCGAACTACAAGCCGGAGCTTGTCAAAGAGGTCGATGACCTGCGGGTCGTGAGACTCCAGCGACGCAACTCTTTACTCTGGACGATCTAACCTGTGCCGAGAGTCAAAAGGACATCCGGCCTAGTTGATACCCGAACACAAGGTCGACTGAAGAGAGGGGAAGAGGGAGTATCGGCACTCGAGCGTCAGAGTCCCGCACCGGGATATTCTCCCGTGCACGAAGCTATGGCGATGAGCGACTGTGACATTCTCGTTCGACGGACTATGTCCGGTAATTAGTTCAGAGACTAAGTTCACTAAGTAACTCAGAATCTAAGATCGCAAAATAACTCAGAGACTAAGTTCGCCAATTGCTCTCGAGACTAAGTTCACTAACTAGCTCTGCGGCTGAGTCCTTCACGGATATGCTCCTAACAAAGTTCAAGTCCAACAGAGGTTCGTCAATGTAATCGGTTCGCAAGTCAATTAGCAAGAGCTGTGGTAGTGCTCGGGTGGTCGTTCAAGAATGAATGATGCTGCAGCGAAGAACTGCGCTCAATATATACTCGTCAGAAAATCGACAGCGGGAGGGAGGAGGGAAGGGATAGCCGCCGGACGGGTGATCAAGCCGTCGGTTCAGATAGCTCAAACGCACTGTGGCTGTAGGTTTTGAGGGAGTAAGGGAAGGATAGCGCCAATGGTCGTGCAGTAGGTGGAGCAACGACTACGTCGGTGCCGCTGCAGAGTTCAGTTTGCGCGTCTGAACCTGCATCAGCGGTGCCGTTTTATCTATTAATGACCCTACGGTTCGTGCGAGCTTGCGGGGATACGAAGTTGTCGGTCGCGCTGGTGCTTGCGGTGGTCTTTCATCTGAGCGTATCCGCATCGGCGGCTGCTCTTTTATCTGAGCGTCGGCGCGTCAGCGGTACTCTTTCATCTACCTACACTGAAAAAATTTTGCACTGAATAATAGATCTCTACAGCGTGAATGTATCTTATATTCATCAAATGAACAACTATTTATGACACAGTGAACACAAAACAGTATACTAATATTTTGAAGGGAATCATTTGTCACTGTGACAAGAATTTGGCTTCACGCGTGACGGTATATTGCGATATCGACAATGCACATGTCAGAACCACCGTAAAGCCAACGCTTGAAATCGATTACGGCTACGCATGGCACTATTTATTAGCTGGCTGGCTATAACATATATGTATACAAAACGGATAAATTAATTTTTTTCCGTGTAAACTTATTAGAAACTATCATTTGATACACATATTCATGCTTATGAAGTCATTGAAACAAATCGCCACACTTATGTAGAGGTTCAATCACTAACCAAAACTTCACCATTGTTATTTGTTGAACTAGTTAATAATAATGATGTTGTTACTAGGCATAACTGATAAGCGATATTTTTGTTACCTTTGTAAATAATATTGATAAGTACAATAAATCACGACTATTTTACTGCAATATTTTATAAATCTTTTTTTTTTAAATAACAAAGTTTTTACAATATTTTCGAATATTATAAAGAAAATAGGCTCGTTTATGTAAGATTTTACTTAAATATAGTCCAATCGTCGAATCGACAACAAAAAGTGCTTGATAATCGCGTTCACCGTGAACCTAAATCCCTGACACCATCGTCGTGAACTTTTTACAAGTTATAGTCCAATATAGTCCAATCGCCCCGACAACATGAAGTGCTTGATAATCGCGTTCACCGTGAACCTAAATTCCTGTCACAGTAGCCGTGAACTTTCTTCAAGTTAACTGGTGAATATAAAGTTAAGACACTATAGTGTGATATCAATAAAAGACCACAGGTGAACACGAATTCAGTGCAAAATTTTTTCAGTGTACGCGTCCAAGCGTGCTCGAGACGGTTGGTTATGCTAATGGTCGCGGCGCTCTTTGATGCGTGCCGGTGGTGTGGTATGCGTCTACCCAAGCGGCATATCTCCTCGTGCCTGCTCCCTACTAGCTCGACCCTCGGTCTTACCCACGGTCGATAAGGAAGGTTGCGTATGCATATCCGAGGGCGCTGCCTTTCGCGCTTGTGTCATGCTGACGAGGCGGTCAGTACATTACAAGTAATTCAGTCTCTCTTTTTTCATTTTCATGTACCCCCCTACCCCCCGCAAAAATTAACTTTTTTGTTTTGACCGCAGAGCCAAAAAGTTTTGTTTGGCGCAGGAGGGAAAATGTATGTATAGGATTAGAATGAAGATCAAAATATCTAGTTTTATTTATTATATGTGAAATATATTCGAGCAGATTTTTAATTATCGGTGAGACTTGTATTTTTGGAGAAAAAGAAATGCAATTATGGAATTAATTCGTGACATTAAAATATTCCCTGCAGGACTACCGTTAGGCATTACTTCGTGAGGAGCCAGGAGTCCCGTGTTATTGTTGCAGGTGTCATCTTTCCCTTGTGTTTTATAATCACATTGTCTGATCTTCTTTTTTTTTGCCCTTTCTGTGACTCTCAGTTTTGTTATATCTGAATATGTAAGGGGTGACACTACTTAACAGTTAGTTTCAGGCAAGGATAAACCAAACTAATGTTTAAAGCTTCAAGAACACCACTGCAGCTCTTCTCTTCTATTTTTTTTGTCGTTTTATTCGTTCGGGACAGGTTTAATCGAAAGCAACCGTGACCAGACAAGAGTTGTGAAAGGTGGTACAGGCGTCGTCCTTGTTATACGCAGATAAGTTCACATTATACACTGTTCAAGATGGTCGAAAAGGTCGAACAGGTGAAGAATTCGATGAACTTTAAGCTTGGTAAATCTCAGATCTAGTAATGCTTCTAAGTACAGAACGATTAGTTGATGAGATTGAGGAATCCTGAAACTTCTGCAAAATTTGATATTAATGTATCATATTGATGTAACCACCCACTTTTCCCTTGATGTATGCGGATTACTTATGAGCGGTAGTTTTTGGAACGTAACTACTGCGTTTAATGAAGGATGTCTGTAATTGATATCTCTATGTCTTCTTTCGATGGGGTAATATTTAGGATGGATATTATTCACTTTTCCAAGAATCATTTTTACAACTATTTTTTCTAAAAATTAATAATCCTGGCAACCAATTCTTGATACCTATTCTACTGAATCCAATATTACGACAGCCAATATCTCGAATATTACTTCATGTTCGAGAAATATTCGAACAGGTATGAGCGAGCGCTTGTACACGCACACGTTCACGTGCTGTGCAAGCGTCGGAGTGATTCTCACTGCGCGGCGAAAGATGGCGTCGCGCCTCGGCACGTGCCGACGGCAACTCTGCTATCTGCGCATTATTCGCGATCTCGGCCTTCTCGTTTTTGCACTCACCAAGCAAGCATCTCGTGTGTGTGTCTCGTGCGACGACAACTTTCAACAGAGAAAATTCCCGACGTCATCTCAACCAACGCTACTTCGAGCATCATCAACAAGGACTACTCATCAGCTGGACAACTCCAATTGAATCAACATGCGCAAGCCAGTCAACGAGGACGTTTCGGCAAGCCTTTTTCATCGCTTCACTCATCGAAGCGCAATTCATCGGTCTGCGAATCGGGGTCAATTCATCGATTGCGACCAGGTAAAGACACCTCAACTCTCGGGATTATTTTGGCGCATCTCAATCGCACAAGCACACGACGAGTGAAAGTGAGGTTACACGTAGCCATGTGCAATTTCACGTGATCTCGGCCAACTCATCCGGCTGCTCACACTTGCACACGAGAGGATTAATTTAACCTCCTCGTTGTGCTCCGGTCTGCTCACAATCAAGTTCAACTCGCTGTGAACTCAAGAGAAGCGTTGCCCATCTCCATTGCTACAACTCACAGTAAATCAGAGTGGATTAATAAAATCAAACTTCGCATTGACAACTCAAACTTGTAAATGCACTTTGTAAATACTCTTTGATAATTAAGTGTGAATTAATACAATCCAACTTCGCTACGACTACTCAATTTATTTGTGCAATTATTGACAAATCAAGTGTAAAATCAATTGACAATTTCAGTGAACTCAACAACGTTACAATTGTTATCAACATTTTGAATTAATTGACTCAGTTTTTATTAAATTAACAGTGATTTTGAGTGATAATAAAGAAAATTGTGAAAATAGAAAATCATGTGACTCATGCAGTGTTTTCTTTTGAGACCCTATCATGCACCCATTCAATTTATTATTAATTATTTAAACGATTCCTGAACACTTCACGACAGACATTTTTTCGACTCATACATACATATATAGGCTAAACCAGAGTTAGCGTTACAGAAACAACAGAAATTTGA